GTCCACAAATGTGTTCCAAAACGACCGGCAGTCAGTTATGGACCCGCGCCATCGGTAACTGATGGCAATGTGGTCGATTTGAGTTTGTGGCCGGCCTGTTGTTGGAGAACACCAAGTGGCCAGACGACTTCGGCTATTTCGGAAGTTATGCATGCATAAAAAAAGCCTGCGATCAGCACACAGCTGAAGCAATCGTTCCCCAGTGTCCGTACGTACCGACGCATCGACGCATGTTGGTCATTTCAATCGTTCCCCAGTGTCCGTACGTACCGACGCATCGACGCATGATTTTTGGTCATTTCGGGGTGCATCATTTGACTCTGATGACGGTATTATGCAGGCACGTGCATCCATTTGCTTCCCCTCGGGGACACACCAGTCGGTAAAAGCCGTTGAGTCTATCAAATGTAAAATATAATAAACTAAATGAATAATCGCCCAGCTGTAACACCCTATCGGTGCCGACCTGCCATGCCATCCGAAGGAAGCATGAGGGTTGAGATACTGCAAGCCTGTCCATAGCTAGACAAGCACTCGAGTTGCATAGATTGAGTTCGAACAACGGGCCTTGTGATCAGTAAGTTCTCCCATTAGCCACTAAGCCATCTCGAGCTGCAAGACGTTTCTGTCGTTCAGCTGTAACACCACTTCGGTGCCTAGTTGCCACATACCCCCCCCCCAAAAAAAAAACGAGGGCTGGCATATTTCTAGGTTGCACAACGTAGACAGGGGAAGTTGAGAGGCAGAGGTCGGGTTCGAAACACGGACCATGTGGTCAGTAAATTTGAAATCTAATCACTGAGCCAACAATATCTCACTGAGGAGCTTCCAGAAAACGACAGATATGACTGTGATGGCGGTTCCGATGGCAACTGGAGAAAGGTGAAAGAAGCATTGCTCGCAGTATGCCAGGGATCGCTTGCAAACCTCAATGAACACAGCTCACATCAGCATCTCTGATTGAAGCCAAGAAAACTACACCAAGAACAAGCGACGGTGATGATGCACGCAGATCCCTAAGCAGCCGAATAATGAAGAGCCTAAGGATTAACGGAGGGCGCTGGTGGATCGACAAAGACCGGGAAGTAGGGAAGGTTTTGCGACCGGCGACAATCGCATCACTATCATCATCACCAAAAGCTGTAAAAATGTACTACTTAGATACAACCATTGCAATACAGCGGTTCTAGCTCTCACATTCTCGTTCACCGGTGATTTGGGGAGGTGGGATATATAGTTGCGCACTGGAGGCGGTAGCTGATATAACTCATGGGCTCTTCGAGGAAGTCGGTCGACTGGCAAAGGGAGATTCGAACCCTACCTATGCCTCTCGGCTTCCGCTGTCTTGTGTAACCTGGAAGTATGCCAGCCCTCGTACTTCCTTTGGGTGGTATGGCAGCTAGGCCCCGAAAGGGTGCTACAACTGAGTGGTACAGCTGAAAGATTATCTTATTATCCTGCGTTAAGTCAGCCTTCGAATGACAAGACCAGAGGGCACCCATGATGGCACAGCTACCAGACTGATGCCACGGTGATTTTCACGCAGTGTTCGTGTACCATTTTCGAAGACGAAAAAAATAAAAATCGTTCAACTGTAGCACCTTTCCGGTGCCTAGCTGCCATGCCACCTGAAGGAAGCACGAGGGCTGTGATATTGCCATGCTGCCCAAGCCTAGACAGGGGAAGTCGAAAGGTAGAACGAGAATTCTTCGGATATTAATCCGTGGTATCCAGCTCCGATGCAACTTGCTCAAGACGAGAGTTAGAAGCGCTCGGCATGGTCATGGTGGCCAGACGATCTGTCGTGGAAACTATAACCGACCGGAGAGTTCGGTGCATATTTTGCAGTCCTGCTGGCTCACTCATGACGCCAGATGTGCTCTTCATAATCGGGTTGCAGGGGAACTCGCAAAACGTCTCCGTCGCCTGGGATACACAGTCCTCGAGGTCCTGAAAGCATCCACATCAAGCCTGACCTAATCACAAGATGAACCAAGTGAGTAGAGCGCGGATTTACTGACCGTGGTTCGAACCCGACCTCTGTCACTTGACTTCGCCTGTCTAGGCTTGGGCAACCTGGCAGTATCCCAGCCCTCATGCCTCCTTCGTGTGGCACGGCAGCTAGGCACCGAAAGGGTGCTACAGCTGGACGATTTTTATTATTATTTCGAATTGCTCTTTGGAAGCGCCGGGGAAGTGATAGACGTCAGCAGTCTCGGACGGGCACGGATAAACTGTGTGGAGTGAGAAGCAGAAGTATGGTGCTGATGAATATACCCTCGCCATAATCTCAGCCTTACGAGCCATTGGTTGTGATGTCGACTTTTTGGTCCACCAACTGATGATCATCTCTTATCGAGGGGTTTGCTTTCCTCAATCCACCAAGGCTGTTATTGGACTGGGACTTCCTAAGGTCACAGTCAGTGACTTGTGCTTGCTTGCCATTGTGGGCTTTCTGGATACTTACGACAATTTTATGCATGGGACATGGTGTTGGGCGTACATTTTTTGCCATTTAATCTCACACCAGACCTAGTATGACGGATACTTTGTACCTGGTGTGCCAGTCTTGATTGTGCTAGCGCTTACCGCGCCTTGAAAAGCATTCAACATTGTTTGTCCTTTCTTCGGTTGTTGGTCTTTAGAGGCGTGTTTCCATACCAAAATTTTTGCATACGTTGGGATTCATCTCATCTGACTGGAACTGTTGGTGGCATGAATTCGAATGAGACGCTTCTCTCTTTTACCTCATATTATCCTGTTGCCCTTTTGCATCCGTCGCTTGCACTCACCTTTTATGTTTGTGACCGTACCCTTCAAAAATGAATGACGAAAAATAGTAGCACAGTGTGGTTTATCGAGGGTATTTGCCGAGCTTTCGCATATCGATACTGTTGAGTCATGGCAGTTCTTCGAAGACGATGGACTGACATGCTTCTTGCTGATTTACAATGGCCCGAAGGGGAACGAACTGTCAGGCGTGCACGCACCGTGGCGCGACCGGAACGAAGTTGTGGGCCCCAGAGGGAACGGCAGCCATGAATTCTGGCACTAATTCTGATGACCAACAATGATTGTCATTCTCAATTTCGGAGCTGCTTTTCACTTCGCTGATCGTCAGAAACTATGACAGTGTCTGGGTATGAACAGTGTTCCTTGTAAATTCTTGTCTTCGTATATGCCTCCTCCTGTGGACACGTACTTGTCTACTGCAAATTCTCTCCAAGTTCAATAATTCTAGTGGTGTCAGGTAGGGGTGTCCTCTATCACCTCTTCTATTTGACTTCGTAGCCGATATGCTACTTGAGTCTTCTTTACCTGTCCATCACATTTCGGGGATCAAAATACTCCAAGGGCGTTCACTAACAGAGAATGAGTACGCGATACTGCTTTTCTCGGATCAGAAATACAAACTATCTGAAATAAATTACATGACTTTGCTGCACATTTCGGCGTGCACTTTGCACCCGTAAGGTGTAAAATGCTGTTGCAGGATTGATTGGCATCGAATCCAAAACTCATGCTTGCAGGTGAACCGATAAATGTAGTAGATATGTTCGTCTGCCTGGGTAGCCACGCGAGGCCCAGAGAACTGTCGAAAGGCGAAGTAACTTCCCAAATTAAGACTGCCGCGGTACCGCTCCCAACCTCCGAAATTTATGGCGTCAAAGTGATATTAGACTAACTGTCAAGAGCAGAGCTTACAATGTCGCAGTCCGATCTGTCCTACTCTGTGAGTGAGAGACGCAGTTGCTGCGTGCGGGGGATCTTCGGACTGTCTCACCACCATTCTTTCCGGAGCATTGCGCGGGTCTGGTTGGGACATCGTGTAGTAATGCCGAGGTTCACCAGACGGGAAAACTCATTCTTCTTTGATAGACTAGCTGGTTGTAATCTACGGGTCACGCTGGTAAGGTCGTATACTTCGTATTCTTCTTCGCCCAGAGTTGCATCAGACAGATACCACCTAGGGGCAACGAACCATGAAAGCACTTACCAGTCAGCCTGGCTGTGTTGCTAACATCGTCTCCACGGCTGTGGTCCCCGGGACGAGACAAACAGCTATGCCAGTGCAACATGACCAACGGCACTCGCATTAAAGCTGGCACCTTCAAGGCGTATTTGTCGCTCCCTGCTGTACCGGGCAGACAGAACTTTCGATGTCGATCACCAGACTAGACCTCCAGTACATATCTGTCATTTATCCTCACCAACCTAGGTGGACTATAATGAGGAAGTGAAATCAATGCACGGTTTGTGAGCTCAAAAAGACTAACTGAACTGATTCACCTCACTTTCGCCTGAAATTGAACAAGCTCCCTCTAGATGAGAAACCTTTCAGATGAACTCTGGATACAAATCCAGTCCAGTGGGGACATGGTAAGGACAAAGTTGCTGATCCGGAAAATAAATAGGCTGCCGTAGTGCTCACCATCCGGCTTTATACAATGAATAAATGAATAAACGAAATAACCTTTGGAAAGGTGCAAGTGACAGTGAACCGAGTGCTGCCGGACAGGCGAGTGAGAAAAACTCAACGAAAATGGCACTAGGGTAGCCAGCAGGAGCTATCAACCATGATGCAAAGATTGCAAAAGATATTCGAGTTTTGAAGAAAAGCATGGAAAACTCTGACAAACCTCTGCGTAGCGGCAGCAACCGGTTCTCCAGTACTTCTCTGGCATCAGTTCCTTCGTCCATCAAGTCCAACTTTGTCAGAACGCCAATGGTTCTCAAACCTTGAGGATCATACTCCTTCGCCAATTTTAAAGCATCCGAGTTGGCTAGATCAGTGTTTGCGGGTGTGACAGCAAGGATAAGGCAGTTGTCTCTTTCAATGTACTCGACGATCATACTGCGTATTTGAATTTCTATATCCGGCGGCTGATCTCCAACAGGGACCTTGGTCATCCCGGGTAAGTCGATTAATGTGAGGTTCAGGACTTAAATCAGAACATTAAAAGGACATATTGACAAGTACCGTGCGGGGAATGAATCCGGAGATTGATAGGAATGTTTGAAATCCCTTTGTTAGTTCCTGTCAGCCTATCAGTCTCTGCTTCGATTTCATGTCTGATCTCCTCAAAGTTCGTAAATTTCTTATTTTTCAGGTGCAGGAATTCACCATATTCTGGTAGAAACAAAGGGAATAATCATACATATAAGCATGTCCTTACCTGCTTTATCATATACTAACTGAAGAACGAGGGGCCTTCTAGTAACTATCCCTGATCCACGCGGTAAAAAGTCTCTGTAAGCATACACAAGTTTAAAGTGCCAATTACAACAAACCTGCCAACAAAGTTCTCCAGGACTGAGCTTTTTCCAGCACTTTGAGAGCCCACGACAGCGATTTGCGGGAGTTCCAAGCCGAGAGGCACATTCAATGATGAGAAAGCGTCCTGCAACTTATTCACCAGTGGGATAAGCTGCTCCATCCCATCATTCCCAATCATGGTCGCAAAAGGGGACCTCCGACGGTGGATGGAGGACAACACAGGTGTTTCTAGGTCACTCCAAGGTCAGGCTTTACGGGTCCAGGAATCAATAGCTTATTAGAAGACTCACGGAATTCTAAAAGGGCAGAGGCGTTGGCCGAAACTTCCCGAGTTGATTTTGTTCTTATCGTTCAGCGGATTCTGTTCACCGGAAAGGTATGAGAGGAAAAGGGCGTAGAAATGCTCTTTAAGTTCTCGATGAGGACAATTACGTTGTCGGAGTGAGAACCAAAATAAAATATTGCTTAAAGTGCTTTGAACTGGGTAATGCGTGTACCATAACAAAGGGTCGGAGAAAGTTTATCTTACAAGACAATTAACTAAAGTGATCAAAATTGTAGCCCAATAAATATGTGCGCTCATAGCTTGAAAATCTTACCAGAGCCCACCGATGGTACCTGTGATCATCGCTATCATCACGGATTCACGGAGTCACGGATTGATACACAGGATCGAGACTATTGCCCAAGCCTCCCAGGACGCTTTTGTTCTTGTCGGTCAGTGGCTGTCGTTCACCTGAAAGGCACAATTGAAAAAAGGTGTAGCACTGCTCTTTATGTTCTCAGCGCGGGACAGTATGCTTGCCAGCGCGAGGATTCGCACAGATAAGTATCTAATAGTGCTTTAAACTGGGTTCTAGAAGGAGCGTGAACAACCGTCTGAGGAAGGTCATTCCACGCAGCTACTACCCGA